AACAAAAGGAACCCTTAATTTATTTCAGAGTTTAATTTGATGGGAAAGCTAACAGGCGGAATGTGGAAAGACGTACATAGTATATATATATCATCGGGTCTCGAAATCAGCAGACCTATTAATCCTACGTTGGCTCAACTTGCTTCACTCCATGCATGCATTTATTACAGTCTCTCCTGAATTCTCTCAAATTTTCATAGTCATATTGTTCATCCTTGAGTATTAGTAATAATTCTTTATATGTGTAAAAATCTATCCAATTAATTTTAGGGCGAATGGCAAAAAGGCTCATCACATGGGACTTAAATGCATTTTAGTCAAAAGAAAAAAAAAAAAAAAAAAAACAGTTTCTCAATTAAACCCTATCCTCATATTTTTAGTCTAAAATACCCTCCATAATATAATTCTTATCAATTCGCTCTAACTTCCTTAATATTACACATTGACCCTGGATTTAAACAAATATATCACATTAACCCCCAAATTTATTTATTTTTCAGAAAATAATTATTTTTTCTGAAATGTTTTTTTTTTCCGATAAGATTCCGGCGTTGACTTTTTTTTTTTTTTGAAACCTTTTTTTTTCCTGAATTTTTTTTCCGGGCGTCAACCACTGTTGACCGCCGGTCTCCAACGTTGACTTTTTTTTTTTTGAATTTTTGTTTTCTTAGAAAAAAAATATTTTAATTAATATTACTGTCTTGGCTACTAAATTATTGTCTCAGACAGTAATATTACTGTTTGGGACCGTGAATATTATTTTCCCGAACAGTAATATTGTTAATATTATTGTCTAAGACAGTTAAATTACTGTTGGAGACAGTAATTTAGCAGCCAAGGCAGTAATATTAATTAAAATATTTTTTTTAAGAAAAAAAAATACAAATAAAAAAGTCAATTAACAGTTAAATTACTGTCTCCGTCAGTTAAATAACTGCTGGAGAAGTAATTTAGCAACGAATACAGTAATATTAATAAATTTTTTTTTAAGAATAAAAAAGTCAATTAACAGTTAAATTACTGTCTCCGACAGTTAAATAACTGTCGGAGACAGTAATTTAGCAACGAATACAGTAATATTAATTAAAAATATTTTTTTAAGAATAAAAAAGTCAATTAAAAGTTAAATTACTGTCTCCGACAGTTAATTAACTGCTGGAGACAGTAATTTAGCAACGAATACAGTAATATTAATTAAAATATTTTTGAAGAAAAAAAAAGTCAATTAACAGTTAAATTACTGTCTCCCACAGTTAAATAACTGCCGGAGACAGTAATTTAGCAGACAAGACAGTAATATTAATTAAAATATTTTTTTTTAAGAAAAAACATAATTATAAAAAAAAAAAGTTAAGGCCGGAAAAAAATTTCTGGGAAAAAAAAATTCAAAAAAAAAAAAAAAAAATCAACGCCGGAGACCGGCGGCGGCCGGCGGTCTCCTGTAGTGGCGGGTCAAAATTGAAATTATGGTTAAAATTGGTTAATTGATGAAATTGGGCTAAATTGGGGTGTAAATCATTAAATTGGAGTTGAATTGGGTTTTAATGAATTGGGGGTAATTTTTGTATATATAAAGGGATTTTCCTTATTTGCAAATAAGTTTGAATGAGCTGGATTTATTTGAAAAACAAAAAAGTTGGATGTCCCTCTTTTAATTAAGTGCCCTTGTCGTGGGCCTATTTGCCATTTACCCTTAATTTTAATTTCCAGCAGATTTTACTAGTTGCAATTTGTCAAGAGTATCCCTATCAATACATGGTAAAATAAATCATCAAAATAAAATCTCCTATTTTACTCCCCATTTTCGTTTGACCTAACGGGTTACCAAATTTGACCATTACTGCAAATCCGAAAATTAGAATTCCACATCTCTAGAAATCGATTTCTTCACCCATTTTTTAATACCAAAACCTCTCCACAAATTGTGATGCCTTGCCTTTCATAGGTTACATTGTTTGAGCATTTGCAATTTACAAGGTCGTTTGCTGTTTGGTTTGCTGAACAGGTTTGCCCAGTCTTCGTTTGCTATTTCCCAGCTGTTTTTTATTTGTAAACGACGTGGTGTTTAGCGTTTGCTGTTTGGAATTCATACCATGGTTAAAACACGATTAAATCTTGGTAAGCAATGACCCTTTAAATTGTTTGTGTGATTGGTGTGTGCGCGTTATGAATTTTTGTGTTATTGCATGTTGGGTTTTCGAATTTGACTTTTGTTCATTTTATAATTTTGATTGTAAGGTGTTTGCAATTTGTTATTTATTGTGGTTTGCATTTTATTATTTCCAACACGCATATTTATCTTTTGTTATTTCATTTTAGTGTTTCTATTGTGATGTTTGTATTTTTTATTTGTGTACTTGCCAGGTAGGTGTTTTGCAGTTTGTTGTTTCTAGTTTGGTGCTTGCCTCCTATTTAGTGTTCGTACATGTAAGTTGTGTTTAACATTTTCATACGGTATATTTGTACGTGTATATTTAGATATTTTCTCGTATTTTACACGTTAATTCTTTTTTTTCTTTGGGCTAAATACACTTTCACCCTTAAAGTATGACCCTTGTAACACTTACCTCCATGAAGTATATAATGTAACACTTACCCCTTACTTGTTATAGAAATTGCATATTAGATTTGAAATGACACTCATACCCTTGAAATTATTATTTATTATTGGATGACATATTTTTAATTTTTATTTTTATTTTAACTATCTAATTAAAAATAATAATTGAAAATGCCAATACATTAATTTTTATTTTAAAATTATCCCAACTTATTGAATAAAATAGTTTAAAGAAAAAAGATTGATTCACGTTTTTACAAGAAAATTCAACTAATTAAAAATTCAAATATGCAGTTTGAGTACTGTTCAAGAAACAAATTAATATACCATGCACCCACAATTAACAAAACTCGAAAAAAAAAAATATTCGATCCTAGCCTTTTCCAATTGTAAAAATTTGGATACATGTAATCATTTTTGTTCTCAACTTATTTAATAAATTAATTGAATCATGTTTATTTTTTTCTATAAGCATTTATTCGAGTGCCACCTAGATAAACATTTTATATATTCATATAGTATTTAGGGTCTATTACATATAATCCCCTTAAACATTCAAATAATAGGGGTAGACCCAAATTTAAATTTGCCATTTTGATAAAAGCCCAAGTTTTTCGTAATTACATAATTACCCTCAATTAAATCCCACAAATTCCGTTACTTTACCTTTTGAAATAATATCAAATCCCTTCCTATTTTCCCGTTAACACACTATCACCCCAAAACCCACTATCAAATAAACTGCAAAAACCTCCCAGAACCACTTCCCGGTACGGCCGATCGAAAGGGGAAGAAATCTGCACTGCCGTGAAACGAAGATTTTCGTGGACTCCGAGCAAGCCGCCGTAGGTACGTCTTCGCCGGTCGCTGCATCGCTATCGTCCATCGATTTGTTCATATGTTTTGGCTAAATCGACTATCACGTTTGTATAATTGCAGATCTGTTATAATCGCATACCGAATTCGAGCACTAAATCATTGATATTGCAACAATTGATGGGCAGGACATCCACCAGAAGTGATATCGTCGTTGGCCGCCGTCGCCGTCGCCATCACTGCTCCAATCTAGGGTTACTCAAATCTAGGGTTTTGATAATTCTTCGGCCCATAGTTGATTAACGAGATGCATAGTCGAATTACATCTGTATTAATATACTATCCCATATCATTTCATAGACTATCACACTGGTATAA